TCAGTTACTGAGTGTCCTAATCATAACGGTAAATACGTAACTACGTACGCATATGATAACGTCAAAATGAAAAAGTTTTACATAAATAGTTGCTGCATGGATTGGGAAGAGAGCGATGAAATTACTGAAGGATTTCTATAAATATTCTGTTAATAAATGACTTGTAGAATAAGATTTATTTTTATCATAAAAAAATTTTCATTAAAGAAAATACAATTTATATATTTGCTATTTATCCCCTCCCCGCTCTTTTACTGAGTACATACATACATATATACATGTATGCATGCATGCATACAAGCATATATAAATGATAACGTGTGATCTAAAAATACACTTCGGATCACCGGAGGAGGGGGGAGGCACCGTTCTTTGTCGCTTTGGTTGTGTAACTAATATAGACAGTAAGAACTATTAAGAGGTAAAAGCACCCGTGGCTCAGTTGTTAAACTGTCTCGTCCGTGGATCATAAAATTTAGTTAGAATAGTTCGATTATCTACTCGTAGTATCTGTTCATTTTTTTCGCTGAGCTAAATCTGCATTGTATTATATAATACACATATAAAAACACATATAATTTAAATTAAATTACATATAAATTAATTTTATATATATATTTAAAACTATTTCTTTTATACTATTCTATATTTAAATAATTATAGAACGATGGACTAAGCAATATGTCTTTTCTTTGCGAACTTTAAAAAAAGTTTTGAGAAAGTCATCATCGCTTAGTGTGCCACAAAAACAATTATTGCGCAATACCGTTTGTAAACTTGAATTTATTCATTTAAGACTAGAAAATTGTAGAGATCACGGAAGAGGTTTTAGTAATAGTATAAAAGATCGTGTACAATTGGTGGACTTGAAAAGAGCATCCGAAAACCGTTTGAAAACTAGTATTATAGTCAATATTCAATACATTGATACTGAATCACTCTTAAAAGATGCTTGCGATTGGTTTGCAAGACAAGCTGAAGTATTTTAAGAGTGAATAATGCTTGTAAAATTAATGTTGTACTATCATGCAAATTTTGGAAATATTCAAGTAACAAAGATGAATTAAAAAAGTCTTTTGACACAAAACATTTTACTACACGTAACATTCAAGTATATTCCTCAAACTCTCTCAAGAAATAGTTTAATGATAATATTAAAAGTCCATTACTAAACGAGGTGCAGAAATTTCAAAGTAACAAATCAGGAAAGTTCGGATTCTATTATTAATCTTCAAATTAGTATCAATAAATTGAATCCAATGCCAAATGGAAGTTTATACATCTCTATTAAAATTTCTAAAAAACAAGGATACTTATATCAGTGTAGAAAATAATGATAAGAAATGCTTTATATGGGCAATCTTGGTAGCTTTATATAAAATTGAACATAAAAATCATCCTCAAAGAGTAAGTCATTACATATCACACGAGAATATACTCCATTTGGATAGTACGAGCTTATTCTTTATTATCTGGTGGGTGGCATCCTTCAAAGTAATCCGCACTTGATTGAATAACACGGTTCCATCGATGTTTCTACTTTTCAAAACATTCTTGGAACTCACTTTTAGGGATAGTCTTAAGTACACTCGTCGCATTGTTTTCAATCGTTGTATTGTCATCGAATCGGTGTCCTTTGAGTGTTTTTTTTTAGTTTTGGAAACAGCAAAAAGTCACAAGGGGCTATGTCGGGACTGTATGGAGGTTGTCGAAGCAATGCGATATTGCGTTTACTCATAAACTGCTGCACAAGATTTGATGAATGCGCTGGCGCATTATCGTGATGGAGAAACCAGTCACCACTTTACTGTTGACGTTTCTGTCCAGTAGAGGTCGCTCGAACACTATGGCGCGAAGATATAAACCTCGTATATGAAAGACAAATTTGATAGTAGCGTAGAAGACGAGTACCTTGTTTATCTAGATGCTAATAACTTATATGGATATGCGATGACACAATATTTGCCACGTGATAAAATTGAGTGGGAAGAAAATTGTGATAAAATTGACTTTCTATAAGTTGCAGATGATGTTCCAACAGGTTACATTTTAGAAGTGATTTAGATTATCCACTATCGATTCATGATGAGCTTTATGATTTTCCATTTTGCCTAGAGCACATCAAGCTTCCTGGTTCTAAGCATGAAAAATGATATACAACTCTCATGAATAAGAGATATTATGTGGCACATTATCGAGCTCTTAAACAAGCTGATAAACTCAAGCTGAATATGAAAATTTCAGCAATCTGCATGGCTTATACTACACATCGACATGAAAAGTTCAATGAAAATGAGAGCTCAAAATGAGTTTCGAAAAAATCTTTTCAAACTTACGAATAATAATATATATGGTAAAACTATGGAAAACGTTCGCAAACATGTTGATGTGAAACTTTTGACAAAATGGGATGGACGATATGGCGTGGAAGATTTCGTTTTAAAGCCTAACTTCCATAGTAGAGCTGTTTTTGATGAAAACTTTGTAGCTCTTCAGTTGCGTAAAACTCAGGTATATTTGAATAAACCTATTTATGTGGATCTTACAGTATTAGACATATCTAAAACATTAATGTACAGATTTCATTATGATTATATGAAAAAAATGTATAGAAAAAAGTGTAAGTAAGTAAGTAATAAGTAAGTAAGTGTAAGTAAGTGTAAGCTTCTCTATATAATTACATCACGGCTGGAGCTCTCGGTCGTCGCGGACGCACGTCCCGTCGCTGCGCCGACAAAGACGACACGCGTCCGGCCGACACCCCTGAGCGGAGGAGCCGGAAAACGTGTGCTGAGCCGGAGTGTCGGACGCCCGACCCTGGCCGACAGACGGCGACTCCGTCCCCCTCCTCCGCGCCACGCGGCCTCTAAACCCTCATCATCTTCCAGATAAGTCTCACTGCCATTCAGGAAGCACTATTTGAAGTGCTGCGACAGACGGCGGATAGAGTCCACGGCTCCCCGGCCAATCAATGAACGATGGGGCTACTCCAGACGCGGCTCCAGCTCGTGGAGGGATACTGGGCCAACTTCTGCGACAATTACGTCCGCCTCCTGACCTCGACCGAGGACGACGCAGACGCCTACCGCGGCAGCAACCGCTACTTCGTCGCCGAGGACCTGTACTCCTCAATCAAGGGGAACCTCATCGACCTCCGGGATCGTCTGATCGCATCGGAGATCGGGTCACCGGACCCCGCCTCGACCTCCTCATCCAGCGCTGCCGGAGGCCTTGACGTTCACGACGGAAGAAACGTCGCCTTGGCCCGGCTTCCCCGCATCACCCTACCTCGGTTCGGAGGCCTCGACGAAGAGTGGGAGTCATTCAAGGACCTCTTCATCGACATCGTGCACTCCAACACCAGTCTGGAAGATGCCACGAAGATGTTGTTCCTCAAGACGAATCTCGACGGTGCGACTGCCGAGGCAATCAGGGACTTCAAGTCGTCAGGACACGACTACTCCACGGCCTAGGAGGCCCTCTGCAGCCGTTTCGATCAGCCAAAGCTGCGCGTGCGAGACCACCTCGACGCCCTACTCCACCTCACGCCGCTCGTCAAGGAATCGCCGGAGAAGATCCAGGAGCTTTGCTGCACGATGAGACGTCACCGTACCCAGCTGGAGAAGCTCGGCCGGCTAGTCGGCAGTTGGGACGACTGGTTCGTCCATCTCGGCAGCCGAGCCATGGACCCTGCCACCCGAAGAGTCTGGGAGGAGGAGAGACAGGAGAAAACCAGCGAGCCGACCTTCGAACAGCTGGGGGAGTTCCTCCAGCGGCGGTTCCGGACGTTGCGGTCGCTGTACCCCCCGACCTCCGCCCTCCCTCAATCGGCCAGCGCATCCGACGCATCCCACAAGGCCGACCAGAGCCAGGGGCGCCAGCCGAGCGGCCGACAAGTGCGGGCCCACACCACTGGCCTCAAGCGGAGCGGATGCCCGGCCTGCAAGGAGGCCCACTATATTGGCCACTGTCTGACCTTCCGCGGCCTGACGCCTGAGGAAAGGAGGAAATTCGTCTCGGACCGCGGCCTCTGCTTCAACTGCTTGAATGGCTCGTACTCGGCCAGGACCTGCCCGTCAAATGGGACTTGTAGAAGCTGCTCCGGGGCCCACCACACCCTCATCCACGAAGGAGCAGGCCGGCCGGCCAGACGTCCCGCCGACCGCGACGAGGACGAGGATCCCGCGCCAAAGGCCCCCCGCGTCCAGGCCGCCGTCACCCGAGCCTGTCCAGAGGTTGCGGCGAGGGAAGAGGAAAGGTTATGACTGTCCCTCCTTCCCACTGCCGTCATCCAGGCCAGCAGCGACGGCTCACCGCCGGTGCCGGGCAGAGCACTCTTGGACCCCTGCTCCGAGGCAACCCTCCTGAGCCTCACCCTCGCCCGTAGACTCGGCTGCAGGCTGCGCCGCGTCCGAGTCGACGTTGTCGGAGTCGCCGGCCCTGCCATGGACTCGGCGAGACCAGACGATGCTGCACCTCAGATCTCCCTCCGGCGACCGACTGATCCGCGATGAGGCGCTCGTCCTGAGAGATGTCGGGATCGTCACCCCTTCCAGAACCATCGAGAAGCCCCGCCCGGATCCGCGGGGAGAGTTGCCCCTCGCCGACCCTCAATTCGACCGTCCGGCCGGAATTGATATCGTCATCGGTGCGGACGCCTACGGCCGAATCATCCAATCAGGCGTTCGGAGCTACGGCCCGCTTCTGGCCCAGAACACTGTGTTCGGCTGGACGCTCACCGGGCGCGTGGCCGCCGCTCGACAGGCCGACCAGCGACCGACCACGAGCGCCTCCTCGACCTCGTCCAGAAATTCTGGTCTCAGGAGGAGGTACCCCAGACGAGAAGGATCTCTGCCGCCGACGTCGAGTGTGAGGCAGCGTTCGCTCGAGGATGCAGCCGAGACCCCACAGGGCGCTACACCGTGGCCCTCCCGCTACGACCGGAACGCGTGGCTCTCCTCGGGGAGAGCCTGAGCCAGGCTCGTTCCGCCCTCACCTCGATGTACCGCCGGATGCAGTGGGACCAGGAACTGTCGGGCCACTACCACGAGTTCATGTCCGAGTATGAGAACCTCGGGCACATGCGGCGTCTCACTGCCGAGGAGCTCACCGCACATCAGGGACCGGCCGTCTACATCCCGCATCATGGAATCTGGCAACATCACGATCGAGGACGGAAACTGCGCGTCGTCTTCAACGCCTCGAGACCCACATCCTCGGGATACAGCCTGAACGACGCGCTGCACGCCGGGCCGAAGCTACAAGGGCACGTGACCACCGTGCTCACTAGGTGGAGGCTGCACCGTTACGCCTTTTGCGCGGACATCCAGATGATGTTCCGCCAGATCCGCGTGAGGCCAGAGGACGTCCACCTCCAGAGAGTGCTGTGGAGCCAGGACGCAGACTCCCCCGCCCACCACTACGCGCTGCAAACCGTCACTTACGGCGAGGCCTGCGCACCTTACCTGGCCCTCCGGACCATCAGACAGCTCTGCGCCGACGAGGGCTCCCGCTTCCCACTCGCCCGAGAGGCCGCTGAGAACGACCTCTACATGGACGACTTCCTCAGCAGTGGCCACAGTTTGGAGGCAACCCGACGCCTCAGGGACCAGCTGATCGCGCTCCTCACGGCGGGCGGCTTCCACCTGCGGAAGTGGGTGGCCAGCGACCCCGCCTTGCTTGAGGACATCGCCGTGGACGATCGCCTTCGACCCAACTGGGTCCATCTCTCGGCGGACGGACCAGTCACCGAGCTCGGAGTAGGCTGGAGCCCGACCACCGACCGATTCCGGTTCAGGCCTCCCGCCTCGCCTCATCCCGGGCTTCAGCTGACTAAGCGCAAGGTCCTCGCCGAGCTCTCCAGTATCTTCGACCCGACAGGATGGCTGGCGCCAATCACCCTCGTAGCTAAAATGATCGTGCAGGATCTGTGGAGAGCGAAGCTGAGCTGGGACGAGATCCTCCCACAGGCGTGGCAGGACAAGTGGTCCGCATTCCGCTCCACGATCCTCGCGGCCACCGAGATCGACATCCATCGATGGATCGGGCTCGCACCCGACAAGAACCTCCAGCTCCACGCGTTCGCCGACGCCAGCCGCCGCACCCTAGCCGCCGCAGTCTACTCGCGGGTCACCGACAAGGACGGAAGCGTCACCACCGCCCTACTCAACGCTCGGACCAAGCTCTCCTCCATCAAGAGCCTCCAGTCAGCGTCAACCGGTCGCCTGCGCATGACAATCCCGCGACTGGAACTGCGTGCGGCTCTCATCGCCTCGCAGCTTCTTACCACCACCGCCTCCGCCCTCAAGGTCCCGATCTCGGCCTGCCACCTTTGGAGCGACTCTCGCGTCGCACTGCATTGGCTGCAGTCCGACGAACCGGTGGGGAACGACCTCGTGGACAACTACATCGCCCACGTCCAGGAATTGATTGCCGGAGCAGCCCTTCACCACGTGCCCACCACCGACAATCCCGCGGACATCGCCTCTAGGGGGGTCGGTTCGGACGCCCTCAAGGACCACCGCCTCTGGTAGACCGGGCCGAAGTGACTGTCCAGCCCCGAATCCGCCTTGTCCCAGACCGCCCTCGCCGACGACCCACCGTCTACGGGCCCGGACGACACCACCACCTCCTGCCTGGTCTCGCTCGCTCGTCGCCGAAGCACTGCCGCCACGGAGGACCAAGCCCGGAACCACCTCGAGAATTTCTCCACGCTGGGGAGTCGCCTCCGCGGCACTGTGAGGGCCGGCTGCTGATCGGGTCAACGCCCAACTCGCCCAGATCTTTGGGGCCTGTCCGAGCTGCTGACCTCCGCTGGGCCTTTCTCACCTGCGCCCGCCTCTCGCAACGTCAAACCTCCGCGGATGAGATCAAGCTTCTCCAAGGACCCGCGCCCCGGCTCCAGGCCTCACTCAGAGCGCTGGAACCCTTCCTAGACGAAGACGGACTCCTGAGAGTGGGCGGACGCCTCTCCCAATCTCCACTGCCCTACGACAAGCGCCACCCCGTCCTCCTGGACGGACGCTCGCACCTGGCAGAGCTCGTCCTCCGATGGGCCCACGCTCGCAGCCTGCATGGAGGCTTTCGCTCTACCTACGCGAGAGTCCTGCAGAAGGTGTGGATCACCGGTGGCAAGTCGCGCGTCAAGCGCCACCTTCGCCAGTGTCTGATCTGCGCCCGGATCTCCGCAAGGACCACCGCCCAAGGGATGGCCCCCCTCTCCACGGTCAGGGTGACCCCCTCGCGGCCCTTCAGTCACTGTGGCGTGGACTATGCCGGCCCGTTTCCACTCTGCCGAAGCCGCGGACGGGGACTCCCTACCATCAAGGGATACGTCGCGCTTTTCGTGTACATGAGCACGAAAGCGATCCACCTGGAGCTCGTCGGCGACCTAACAACGGCCAGCTTCCTCGGAGCCCTCACCCGATTCATCGGGAGGAGAGGACGCCCAAACGAGATCTGGAGCGACAATGGCACCAACTTCCGCGGTGCCAGCCTGGAGCTTCGACGACTGCTGCAGGAGGCCGAAATCGACTGGAGCTGGTCGAAGGGACGCTAGCACAGGACGGCGTCTCGTGGAGGTTCATCCCCCCCGCTGCCCCTCACTTCGGCGGACTCTGGGAGGCCGGCGTGAAGAGCATGAAGGCCCACCTTCACCGCATTGCCGCCCCCAGAAAGCTCACCTACGAGGAGTTTACCACGCTCATCGAGGCCACCCTGAACAGCCGACCGCTCGCGCCGCATACCGGAGACCTCGACGATCTGGACGCTCTGACACCGAGCCACTTTCTCCTCGGAACCTCTGCCACCTCAATTCCGCAGCCGCTCCCTGCAACCACCAACCTGGAGAGCGCACAGCACTGGGAGCTCGTCCGAGCCATGCGCGGGCTGTTCTGGGACCGCTGGGGCCGCGAATACCTGAATACCCTGCGCCAGCGCCCCAAGTGGAGGACCATTCGACCTAACCTCCAGGTCGACGATCTTGTGGTCATAACCGACCCTACTCTTCTGCGCCCAGATGGGCGATGGCCTCTTGGCCGTATAGTCGCTACCCACCCAGGACCGGATGGCCTCGTCCGCTCCGCCAAGATCCGGACCGCCGCCGGGGAATATGTCCGGCCAGTCGTCAAGCTGACGCCCCTGCCAGCCCTCGGTCTCATCGAGCAGCCACCCTTGGGCGCACGGCGACTACAACACCAGCGGGTCGTTCTCGGAACGAGGCGGGCCGGATGTTTGGTCGAGTTGCCCTGCCTCGCGCGGCTCGAACCCAGGCTCCCCCCTTCCTCTATCCCCCGACGAGGGAACAACGACGCAGGCCCTGAAGTGGGGGCAAGACTGAAGCCCCCTCCCCGAACGACGCCACCGACGTTGCTAAGCTCTGTTTTTGCTTGGAGCTTACGGCCAGCATTGACCTGCGTTCTCCACCGCCAGAATCATCTTTCAACGCGACTTTGTAACCTCTGCCTGTTCTGTCACCACAAATATTGGCCAATAAAATATCCAAATAAAACGATCCTGTATCTGCGTCACCTCATTCCCGACGGGATTACCGCCTCAGCCCCCTGCGCCAGCGCCTCAACAGCTGGAAAGGTGATGGCCACTGTTTTCTGGGATTCACAAGGTGTGATTTACATCAACTACCTGGAGACGGGCAAAACGATCACAGGGCCGTACTATGCTGAATTATTTGGCCAATTCGACGACGAATTGCAGAATAAACGGCCCCATTTGGCGAAGAAAAAAGTGCTCTTCCACCATGACAATGCACCGGTTCATACCTCCGCAGTCGCCGTGGCCAAATTGGTTGAATTAGGCTACGAACTGCTGCCCCATCCACCGTATTCTCCAGATTCGGCCCCGTGCGACTTTTTTTGTTTCCAAACTTGAAAAAGTCGCTCGCCGGACAGAAGTTTGAGTCGAATGAGGAGGCAATCGCCACCACGGAGGCCTACTTTGCAGACCTCGAGAAAACGAATTTTTCAGATAGTTTAAAAAAGTTGGAGCATCGCTGGGCCAGGTGTATCGAACTAAAAGGAGAATATGTTGAAAAATAAAAGGCTACTTTTCTAAAATTTTCGTTTTTCTTTTGTAGGGTAAGTACTTATAGGACCACTCTCGTATCTTTAGCTAAAATAATTTTATCATTTTTAACATTCAATAAACTATTATCAATCTTAAGAGATAAGATAATATATTAAGAGATGAGAGAGTATCTAATGTTGTTACTTGATTGTTCCGCAACATTGATAATTACTTTTTAACTGAATCAAGTTACGGAGTATGAAATACCTCATCATTATTTTTTAGTTATTCTTTAGCATCCAATGCTTCTTCCAATCATCAAATAATTTTTCAATTGATTTTTTCTCTTTTTTAGGTAATTCACGTATGTTACAGCTATCTAATTCTTCTTTTTTAGGTTTCAATAAATTTTATTTGCTTTTTTTTCTGCTCAGAAAGTATTATGTCATCAATCATCTTTTCAAATGTTTCAATCACAGGCTTCAAAGTCTCTTCAACAAATTTTTCAGTTGCTAATTGGTCAGACTTTAATAAATTATATTTATGTTTTATTGCTTTGTGAGGTTTTTTCACTTGACGAAGATTACCAATCTGTTGATCTAACTCATCATGTTGTCTATCTGCAATCTTATTGTCTACTGTCGGTTTAATGTTGAATGATTTTCATTTATAATAAACTTATCAAAACCTTTTCTTAATCTACTTGCATCTTTTTCTCGATCCTTGTAAATTACACGAAAGCAGTAATCTTCTTTGCAACACGAAGAACAAATTTCTTTAAAACATTGGTAAAACATTTTAGATGATTATAGATATGTCTTAAATTCATATAACTTTGGCGGAAAATTATTAAAAAATTCACATTATCTCTCGCTAAGTGTTTGGGTACTTGGGCATATCTATGCAATAAGTAAAACAATCAAGATTTCTATATTTTCTATAATAAGCTTTTAAATTATCTTGCTACTTACATACAATATCATCAAAAATCATAATAGTATTTGGATGTGCTTCGTCTCGTGATACATAAAGATCGTACTCGCTAAATGGTTGTAACGAAATTGCATCGTTAACAATTTTTAATTGTTAACGGTGGGCAAGTGAGGCGTACTCGCTCATAGCAATCGAGGAGCGAGAGCAGGGAAAGGTAAAGAAATATAATACAAAAATAACACTTCAAATACCATAGAATAATTTTATCTTATTGAAAACCGCCCGGTGAGGGATCGTCTTGACGGTACGCTACCTTAACAAATAATGCCGACCGTAATTATAAGTAGGTAGCCGGCTCATTAACACCTTTCCACCTACCTGACCTTTACATCTACTCGCTGTGCCATACCGCTAAAGAAAGAGAGAAAGAAAGAAAGAATAAAGAGAATGGGCCTTGACCTTAGCTGTACGGGAACGGGAGGCATGGCTGCGCCCTGCGGATGGTGTTGCTGGCCGTCGCTGGGTGACTCCTAACCGGATTCTTTCGGGTAGCGTCCCTTGCAAGATGCTGGTAAAAGATACTTGTCTTTCGTTTCGCTCGGTTTCTCGTCTCAGGTCCTTGGGTGGCTTGTCCGTGTTCGACTGACTTCTACCTCTGCACTCTGCACTTTATACCGCTGACCATCTTAGAACCGTCTAACCTCTCGCTTGCTTCCGCAATCGACAGCTTCTTCGCTCGCTCTTTCTCTCCCAACTTAATCTACTTATTAGACGGCTCGCGACCGAAGCGCTAATTGGTTACGCGTCATGCGTCTGCCTACTCCTGCGTGAGGTACGCACGCCTCTCTCTCTCTCTCTCTTTTTCTAGCACCTTTCTCTGTCGTCCACTTAATGACTTCCTGCCGGTTCGGCCTCGCTCGGCAATCTCCGCGCAACGCTTGCTCTCGTCACGAGGTAAATAGCCAACACCTTTAATAAGTTTGTAATAGAGTCGGCTTACAACGCCGATGAATCTATCGCTATTACCAATTATTTAGAAGGGGGAAGGTAAGGGAGGCGGTATATTGCTCCTGACAAGGTAAAGAGAAAGATGGACGCAATAATCATTCCTCTTATCTTAATAAATCCCTTTATTACACCATGCTACCCTGAGCATACAGTTCGGACATTCAATCGCGCGCCTTACTTATCTATACTACAATCTACGATCGCTAAAAGAGATGGCCGGCACGTTAGCGCCTTGCCATCTCGATACCGACTCGGTACAGTCCAACTTATGCTAATAACCGAACCAGCCGTGCCGGCCCGTGAGAGCCTGGCACAGCGCACAAGCCGTGAGTAGCCTTAGAGTGAGAATTAGAGAGAGAGATTAGGAAAAATGACCTGACGATTGAAGATCTTCGATGCAGAGTCTCGCCGAAGATGGTGTTAGCGTCTATCCGCAGGCAAATCTATCCGTGGTCGGAAGAACTCGGCGAAAGATAGACTTGATTCGGGGCCGATACTGATGTCGTCTCGGTTTCCTCTTATCTTTGTAGTTGACTGCAGGAGGTCAGCACACCTCTCTCTGCTAATGGCC